ATTTCTGTTACAATTTCGAGATTTAATATTTAATTTTACTCTGTTCCATAATCCTTCGATATTGTTTGTATGTACACCAGTTTCTCTTTCTATTCTATTTTTGAAGTGGTTTACCCTACGATGTTTCATGTTTAATGAATCGAGATGTGAATATCCGTGCCATTTATCTGTATATATTATAGAACGTTCTCTAACATGTTGTTTTATGATATTTCTTAAGGTTGCAGCTTCACGATTATCTGTGAGTACAAAAAAGCATTTTTTCTTTTCAGTATGTTCAATGCCTCCAACAATCCAAAAATCTTCGTATTTTTTAAATTTACTCTTATCAATTTCGCAGATAACATTTTTTCCACCAATGATAAAATCATCTGCAGTTAAGCTATTTATTGCTCTATCATGAAAAAAATCTATGAATTTTACGAGTGATTTTGAAAAGTGGTTTGTCATTATGCTAATATATATATAATTCAATTTATATAGCCAAAAATACCCAATTAATAAAATATCACAACATTTAATGTTGCAGTTTGCGAAAATACTTTCTTTGAAAACTGTAACAGTTGTATTACAATTGTTATTTTTACATTTATAAATTTTATCAATTTGTTTAGTTTCAGAATTACATGCTTTGCAATTAGTTTTTGGTTTAAAATATTTTTTTCAAATAAAAATTCGATGCATTTCTTTTCGTCAAAAAAAATTTTATGTGTTTTTTTTAAATCCATTAATTTCTATTTTTAGATATTTCTTCTATTTATATAAATATCGAGAATTAAATTTTTTTTAAAAAAAAACAAAATGTACAAAAATATTTTATTTTTTTTTCTCTTTTTTGTGGGATCTGTAGTTTCAGATGAATGTGCGCGATGTAATTTTGAAGTTTTGGTTAACGATCATAGGTTTTTAGCAAGTGATATTGATGCCCATGTCACATTTTATCAGACAGATTCAACCATATTTGAATCAGATTTCTCAACAACCTCAGCAACCAAAACAACCCGAAACAGATCCGGTGTTTATAGATATCTATAATTTAATTGTTTTTAGTACCTTACAACATTATTTAGATGGATTTTTACGAGTTGGTGGACAAATTTATAATTCAATTATCGATTCGAATTTATCTAACGATGAAAAATTATTATTGCAAAGACAACGAATTATGTTTAATTTATATTTTTCATGTGTGCAAGAAATTGAAGAGAATCAGTATGATAAACAGGTTTTATTGAAAAAAAAGAAGAAATAGCCAAAGATAAAATTTTATCTGACATGTTAAAGCAAAAATTACATGATTTGATAGATTCATATGATTTGTAAAAATATTTAAACATCTGATTTTATTTTATTTTTTTTTAAATAAAAATATTAAACTATTATAAAATTTTAAACGTAAAAAAAACTGACATGCTCGATGAGATCAAAAAACAATATAGAAAATTATGTTTGAAGTATCATCCTGATAAACCATTTTGGTTATCTGAAAAAATACGAAAAGAATATGAAGAAAAGTTTAAAGAAATTTTAATCACTTGACGATATATCATAAAGTTCCTCGAACAAAATCAACTACAAAGGCTAAACCAAAATCTACAAAAGCTAAACCAAAACGTGCAAAATCTAAATGTAAACAAAAATCGACACAGCAAGTTAATCCGTTTAACGTTTATAGTTATGAGTTGTTAAAAAATTTATATCAAAATGTAACATTAGAATTAAAACGGCGCAATATTTCAATTTAATAATTTATTTGTTTTTTTTTTATTAAAAAAAAATAATTTTTTTTAAAAAATTATTTAAATAAAATTTAAAAAAAATTTAAAACAAATAAAAAATAAAATTATTCTAAAACATATTGGTTATTGCCTCTTGCAATAATCAAACCCGCAATTTCTTCTGTGTTTGCAAAAATTTTTTTTCTTGCTTCTTCATCATCCGAGTTTAACCAGAGAACAGCTGTCAATTCACTATATGCTCTTTCACCATTATCATTAGGTTTATTAAAACATAAGAGAACTACTTTAAATTTTCTTGAACCACAGTCAGTTATGCCAACTCGTTTACTAAATTTTTTTGCAGAACTTGATGTACGTATATTTTCAATTTTAGATTTGAAACTATTCGGTAGTTTACCATAGTCTTTAATCCATCTATCTATTACCGTGTCGTGATATTCAACATTTTTTGTATAAGTATCGCAATTGATATTATAATCAAATATAATAGAACCAGAATCAATTAATTCTTGTAATTCACTTTTTTTATCTTCATTATAGATAAAAGGAACAATAAAAGACACTAAAATTTTATTTTTTTAAAATAACAAAAAAAATTTCGTTAATTAAATTTTTAACATCGATTGTAAAA